GAAGAAAACTTCAGCTCCAGGGAGACTCGGACCGTTATGCTAACCGCGCCCCCCGAAACTGACACCCCTGAATGAACCTCAGCACCCGCATCTGCCGCCGCACTCGGCTCGGAACGCGCCCCGGGGACCGGGCGCCTGCAACCACAGTGACTGCGTGGGCCCGGAGAACCCTACCAGGGGCGGGGAGGAGCGGGGGGCGGGCAACGTGGCCACAGGAGGAAGTTTCCTGAAGTTGTCCGCTTATTCCGGAGCTCGGCCAGCGACCCGGCCGGATCCCGGAGGCCGCCTTGGCTGGGAGAAGAAGTCGGAGTTGGGGTGCTAAGGGAGGCAGGCGCCCGAATCCGAGAGGGTGGCTTTGCCTCTTTCTGTTTGCTCGCCCCTCTCCTTCCGGGCGCGCGGCCGGCATCGGACTCGGACAGCAGAGGAGGAGGGATTGGGGTCGCCAGCGCGGGCCCTCCCGGGCACAGTACGCCTGGGACCCAGAGCCGCGTAGACAGCCTCCCGGGACCAAGCCGCGGGGCGCCGGACCCCACGAGGATTATAAAGCAGGACGGAGGGGAAGGAGACCCCGGGGGACCCCCTCCGGGCTGGTCACCATGTGGCGGTTGCTGATCTGGACTCTGGTGGCTCTGTATCGGATCCGCGAGGCTGGAGCCCAAGGTACTGGGGACCATCCCCACGTGGGGCTGGGAGGGGGCTTGGAGAGAGGGCGGGCCAGGGGTGGCCAGCGGGTCAGCGTGCTCAGCCTAGACAGCCCTCTCTTGGGAGTTTCAAGACCCCCTCTCCCCAAGTTTGGGGTCTCTCTTTCGGGTGGGGCATGCTCTCTGAGACTTGTGGCTTCTGAATGGGGAAGGTGGGGTCGCCCGAGAAGGCTGAGAAAACCCTAAGGTGAGGAGGGAGGGACACTCCTCCTGTCCCCTCCGGCTGCGGGAGGGTGCCCTCGGGCGGGCGGCGTGGGAGGGGCGCGCCATTCGGTGCCGGCTCTACGCGGCTCCACTGAGCTCGGAGGCCGGGCTTCGGGTCCACGCTCGGCGTCCGCGGGAAAGGGCAAGGCCCTGCTGGGCAGGCACTGGCCGCCCTGGGGAGAGAGAGAGGGGCGGGCGCGGGGAAGGAGCCGGGGGAGGATGCTAGGCTCAGGCTTGGTCCTCCCTGGAGGGCAGCTGCCCTGCTTGGCCACGTACTGGAGCCCGCGCCTCGCTGCTGGCCGGCCGCAGGGGCCAGCGGTGCTCCTCCGCATGGGCCTGGGGCCGCGGGTGCAGCCGCGAACCCACCGGGGGTGGTGCACAGGGAGGGGCCGGGGCCTCCTTCCCAACCACCTCCAGACACGCCCCGCACCCCGCCCCTGCCTCCCGCCTCCCCTGGTCGCTGATGGTCTGGCAGCCTGTGCTTTGACCTGAGCTGCCTGGAGCCGCCTGAGGCGGAGAAGAGCTGGCCGTTGGTGGGGTGGGAGTGTTGGAAAGGATGAGGTGGGATCCGCGCAGTCCCTTTCTGGAGGGCGATGTCCAGACGTCCCTCCAGTCCCCCGGCGGGTCAAGGCGGGGAAGGGCGGCTGCACCCGCGCTTCCTTGCTTTGGGGTTCGCGGATCCGCACAGCGGTGCCAGCGGTGTCCGAGCGGCGCCTGCTGGGGGCCCAGGGAGATGAGTCTAAACCTGGGCTCCGCTGGGCCTGGCCTCTTCCAGGCTCAGGAGGGGACCCGACCCAGCCGGGGGCGCCGGACTGCGGCGGCGGGGGTGGGGGGGCTGCAAGCCTGACAGGGTCCCACTCTACATCTGGGGTCGTGGAGCCTGTGGGGAGGGAGGAACCCGAGTCGGGCAATTTCCAGAGCCAGGATCGAAGATAAAAATGATCGGCTCTGGCTCACCAGGGTTGAGGGGATGATTTTACGAGGTAATTTAGATAAAAGCACTTGGAAATTTTGCAACGAGATCCATAAATGTAAGGTAATAAAAGTTATTATTTTTATGATCGTCATAAAAATTTCCAGTAGACGGGGACCTCAGAGGTCATTTTATTCTGGTGGCCATTTAACAGATGGGGAAACTGAGGTCCTGCGGCAGTCAGTGATTTTCCTGAGGCCCATTTGGTGATGTGGGGTCGGAGTCAGGGCTTGGGCCATGTGAGTTCTGGGACCTTTTCCTGCACCAGGACAGGGCCCCTCTAGGCAGGGTGCTGGGGGGGTGATTCTGGCAGAGGAATGGGCTGTAGTCTACCAGGGGCGCCTCCTGGGTGTGTGCTGAGATGCCCGTGGAATTCCTACCCAGAAGACAGCCGGCCTCCCAGGGGTGTCCGTCTGTCTGGATCCTTCTGGTTTCTCGACTGCACATCCACCAGGAACCATGTGACTTCCCTGGGCAGGTGCTCACCAGTTCTTGTCCCATCCACGACCAGGCCCTTTTGGAGTCCCCAGGGCACCTGGTGGCTCTTCCTTCTGGGTCTTCCTGTCCTCTCTTCCCCACCTCCACACCTGTGCCGTCCACCTGGGGCCAGGATATCCACCAGTGTTGTTGAACTGAAGGCCAGGCTACTCCCATGCCTGCAATTCCCGCGGGAGGGCCGCGCCTGCTGTCTGTCAGACCGGTGCAGGTCTCTGATTGATCTGCTGCCTTTTTGTGTGTCAGGCTGCCCAGGGCCCCTGCTGCTCCGTTTGTGCTCTCTGGCTCCAAGAGTGTTTGTTCGCCAGCATCATCGGTCCCCTCCTTCCATTTGTCTTCGGAGCAGCAAACCCTGCAGAGGATTGTGGGAACAGGGAACGCAGCCTCCTTGGCCCTGCTTGGGGGGCAGTGCTGGTTTGCATGTTGGAGGGGTAGGATCAGGGTGCAGGTTCCTTTCTTACCTACTCTGGGGTCAGTAAGTGAGTCTCTTTGAGTCTGAGACCATGCCGTGGATCCTTGGTCTGCAGTTGAAGGTCCTTGCACTGTCTGGTCACTTCTGAGCACAGGAGCCCCACTCTCCCTTGAGACAAACCTCACATTGGCCACACCACTGGATCTTGGTCTAGATCTTGCTTAGTTTTGAGGGTCTTTTTGCCAGGTGCTGGGATGGAACTCCATCACCTGGGTGCACTGAAAGCCACTGTTTGACCACATCCCCACCATCTGATGTACCATGATTCAAACTCATTTCCCATGTGAAGTTCAGTGACATTGTGGGAAGAGAATTGGCTTTGGCAGCAGAAAGAATGGGCTCTCGTGATCTGGCGTTGCTGCTTAGCTGCACAGAGGTTTCGGAAAGTCTCAGCCACTCAGAGCCTCGGTTTCCTCATCTGTATGTTGGGAACACTAGCTTCTCCCTTGCAGAGTTGACACTAGAGGATTCAATTGCCCTGGCAGGTGTTCCCCACATAGAGGGGCTTCACACTTGGCAGTTGCTGTGAGCATTTTCAGTTTTTTAATGCTGCATGTCAGGGAACGCTGAATAGTGGTCCCCTGCCGCTCCCCCCAAAGACCCTGAATTCCTTTTTCTTACGCAGGAGCTTTCTTGAACCTCTTTGCCTGAGTACCTTTGTGGGCCTCTGAGTGGCCCTTACGCTCTTAGCTGCCTGGGAGCTGGTGACCGTGCAGATTCGTGTGCTCCCTCGCAGACACTGGGATTGGAAAGGTTGGGCAAGCCTGGTCGACAGCACTGAGTGCAGAGAGAGAGAGCTCTCCTGTGTTTGCAAGCTTGCTTTCTGCTGGGGGTCATCCTGGCCACCCCAGAAGCCGGAAGGAGGGCAACAGGCACCTAACCAGCTGGTCCAGAAGATTCTTTCAAGAGAAGCATGCCAGGGGAAGGCCAACAGGGCGCTGGCACTGAGTGAGCCAGGCAGTGGGGAACTCCTGCTCTGGAGCCCCTGGAGGGGTCCACAGGGAGAAAGTTTAGTGCTGGGAGCTAATCACAGTAAGAGCCCAACAGCGCACAAGGGAGCAGGATGAAAGTTTAATTACATGGTGTGGCTAAGCTGTAATTATTAATTACTGACAGCAAAAAATAACTTATTGATCAGGGCCTCTTGCTAATTACCAGGAGGCCGGGTGTCGCGCCTGCCTGGGGCTCAGCCATCTAAAGCCCCACACCAGAGTGGGATGGGAGGTGTCTGCTCTCGGTTCCCTTCTCCCATGCACCTTCTCCCCCCGCCCTGTGCGCCCCTAGGATTCAGCTGGGGATCTGGAACATTCTTGGGGTGGGTAGATGAGTGACATGGGTTGGCGGCTTCTACAGGCTGCCGATGATCCCCCTGCCTAGGATGAAGAGTTCAGACCCCCCCGAAGGCAGGCTCACAGGGGCTGCCCACACCTGCCTCAGGAACCCTCCCTTTCATGCATTGGTTCTGCAAATATTGATCAACCGCCTCTCCCCGTGTCCTCTACTGGAAGGCTGGAGTAGGGGCCAGGAACCTCCTTCCATCAGGGAAGGGAGGCTGGGAAGGAGGCCAAATGCTTTACAGCACATCTCTGTTTTAACAGTACCCCTGCGGTGGACTTTTAAGATGATGTGTTAAGCTGCATATTGGTCTGCATTTGACCTTGTGCCCCAGGACATGGCTGGGCTGTAAGCTAAAGATAAGGGAGAGTGGGCTTGCTCTCTGTCCTAAGGACAAGTGGAATCACAGCCCGGGATTGGGAAGATACAAAAGTCATCTAGAACTGTTCTCTGCCCACAAACCCTGGACACTGGCCATCGGGTCTGCTTGCATACCCGTGGTGCCCGAGGACACACTACTTCATACAAGCTGGTTGTCAGAGGGTCCTGCTTCATGTTGATGAAGGCATCGGCCTCCTAGTGACGGGCTGTCCCAGGATTTGGCTTAAAGGCCTTTGCATGGGCTGGAGCCCCCTCCCCTCTCCCCCTGGCTCCTTGCCCCTCCAGGCATCAGGAGGGGAGTTAGAATTGATGCTGGGTGCCACCCTGCTGCCTGTGGGGGTTCCACCCAGCTCCCCCTGGGCACACTGCGGAAGACCTGGAGCTGCCTAAAGCGGCGGGAATTAGTCATCATAATTTGGGGCCTTGGGATGCCAATGGCAACTCACGGGCCAGCGCGGCCCACTGCCTGTAACGGAAAGGAAAACAGTCTGGCTGCTCAGACGCCCCCATGCTCCCCGCCTCCCAGCGCCTGCTGTCCACACTCTGGGCAGGAGGCAGGCCGGGGAGCCATGCTGGGCGATGGACTGTCCAGGGCTGCTCGGGGCCTTGGGGGAAAGGGAGAGGGGGCAGCTGCAGAGCTGACTCACCAGACGCCCTGGGCCAGGAGTCCAGGGCAGGGAGCCCTCGCTGAGCCTGGGAGCCTCTGCCAGGCCCTGGTGACAAGGGAGGTGCTCGTAGGGGGGGACGGCTCCCAGCCTGGGCTGCCCCTTTGAGACCTGCCTCTGCTGCTGGGCGATGGTGACTTGAGCCTCAGTTTCCTCATCTGTAAAATGAGTAAATAGAACAGAAAAAATGCCCATGTCTTCCTCCCGGGGTGGTTTGGGTGATTAAATGCAATTATCCAAATCGCTGTAAAGATGCTCTTAATAAATGTCATGTTTATGAAATATAAGCTTTAAATAATGCTCATAGTGTGCTGGTCACATGACTCTGAGGACGCCAGAATCACTGCCCTTCCTCTTCCCATGCGAAGCCTCCTCTGCCGCCGTGTGGCCGCCGTCCCTTCCCCCTTCCCCCCCCCAGGACGCCTCCTGGAGCT